AGGGGTCACTGGGTGTGTGTGTGTGTGGGTGTGGGGGAGGGGGGGAGGGATTTGTGAATTTCCTGCACTGTGCAGGGGGTTGGACTAGATGACCCTGGAGGTCCCCTCCAACTCTCTATGATTCTATTCCATGAAAGCTTTCAGCATTCAGAACAGGGCTTGGAGAAACAAGGGAGGCCAAAAATGTGTGGGGAAGGACCCGAGGGCCCCTCTGCTGGGAATGCAGCAGCCTGGGAGTTTCGGGGCCGGCAGCCCAGACGCCCTTTGGCGTGTGACTCTGGTGCCCAGAAGAGGAACGGCGGGCAGCTGAGCAAGGCCTGCGTGGGAGGACGCCAGCCAATCAGAAGCCCTGCTCCAAGGAGCCCCCGCCCAAGGGACACCCCCCCCCGGCGAGGGAAGAGGGGGCACCGCTGAGTCAGGTGCTTGCAGGGAGTCTTATCACTACTCACGGGGAAAACGGGGCTCATAAGAAAGCCGCTTCCATTTGGCAACAAACGCCGTAAGGAAGACCACGAGACCCAACAGAACAGCAGGGACCACCTGTGACTAAATGCCTCTCACCCAGAATTTCACATCAGAATGTCATTAACTGGGCCTGCACTCTTTACGTGCCCCAAGGCGCCCTTCTGCTGGCTTCTGCTAGCTGGCCCGGAAGCAGCAGCTCAGAGTTGACTCTTGGCACAGCCCGGGGCAATGTGAGGGCCTGGAAATGCCAAGGACACAGGCAGGTGGGGGGGGCACTCCGAGAGAGACCTGCCCACGCTACAGCCAGAGGGGCTGGCCCGAGAAGGCAGAGGAGGGCGACACCCCAGGGGGCGGTGGGGGGCCAAGGGGAGTGCAGGGTCCCCCACCCGGACCATGGGGAAGAGGGAGCTGGTTGCTCTTGGCCATTTTGGTCTCAGGCCATGGAGGGCTAAAAAGCCCTCCTCTAGGGGCTGCATCTTGTCCACAGGCCAAGGGAGAACCCTCGGATCTGATCACTACAGTCACGGCAGACTTTTATCGACTGTATCTTCAAGTAATTTTGGCCCGTTCTAATTAAATATCACGTAGGAGAGAAAAGAGCAAGAGAGTCCAGGATCTCCTGAAAGACTAACAACATTTGTGGCAGGGGAGGAGCTTTCGTTGAGTCACAGCTCGCTGCTTCAGATAAGAGCTTCAGGCACCTGGAAAAGTGAGCCAGTGACTCACGAAAGCTCCTCCCCTCCCACATATTTTGTTAGTCTTTACGGTGCTGCTGGACTCTTAGCCCTTTTCTGCTTCTACAAACTAACACAGCTACCCATCTTGCTCAATTTAGGATAAGTACAGAGCATCGGGTGAGAAGACCGTGTCTGTTTTCACCTTTTCTTTACGTCCTCGCTCCACCCGGTGCTTGAACAGGCCGTGTGTAGACGCCCCTTCGGCTGAGCTGTCCAAAGCAGGGCGACTGGGAGGGGCAGCAGGTAAGCCCACCGTCCCTGGAGTGCGGTTTCTTGGAACTGGGAAGCCGTGAGAGATCACCCCCCAGGCTCACTTCCAGGAGGGAAGGAGGAGGCGCAGCATCCAGCCAGAGCCCCTAAACGGTGGCGCTGCAGATGCAGAGGGGGCTGGACGCGCAGCTCCGTGGGGGGAGAGTAGGCTTTGAGCCCAGCAGCTGCCCTCCTTTGGAGTAAGGGGATGGGGGAATCACTGCTGGGCGGAGACCTGGGACATTTCTCTGACCTCTGGGGGAGCAGAAGGCCTGTTCTGCCTCAGCCACCTGAGTGAAACGTAGCCGCGGAGTCACTGAGACATCGAATACGTAACAGAGACATGCAGCCCAAGGAAGAGTTCTGGCGAGCCTGAAGGCCTGCAGGCTGTTTCGCGTCCTTTTGATTGATTGGGGGGCGGGGGGTATGCCACAACTCCTGTGCGTGGATCGTGCTTGGGACCCACACAGCAACCTGCAACTTACTGCCAAGGAAGCAACCGAAGTTGCACACCCCCCACCCAGTCCTTCCGAGATGCCACCAGCCCTCACGCCCCACTCTCTTTCTCTCTCTGCCGGGGACTGCCTCGGAGGGAGGGCGGGGGCTTGGGGTGGGGGCCTGGCTCCCAGTCGAGGGGCTCCAGCCAGTGGGTGGGGCTAGAGCTGTGCCCCGGGGGCCCGCCTGGGCTGGGAGTCAGCTGAGGCCTGGGGTTCTGTTTTCATCCCTGCGCGGCTTACCTGGTCGCATCCTGGAAACAGTGAGCCGCCGAGAGCACCCACCAGGGGTGGACGATGGCTCCCCCGCAGAAGTGGTACGTCGTGGTCTGGATGCTGACCAGCCATGGCCATTCTCCAGGGTGGGCCTTCGTGCCCCCCACAATGCGGCCCCCGGCCATGGGGGACGCCTGGGGCCCGTCAAAGTCCGGCCGAAACCCGCAGGCTGAAGGGGGGGGGAGAGAGAAGCAGAGCCGTGGTGAGGAAGCCCTTGCCCCCCTCCCTGCCTTCCTCAGCCCTCCCTCCCTCCTCCGGGGTCCCAGCTCTGCTGTGAGGCCAGGCGGGAGTGGGGTGTGTGTGTGTGCGGGAAGTGCTGTCCAGTCCCAGCCGACTTCTGGGGGCTCTGTGGGGTTTCCTTGGCCAGAGAGGAGCAGAGTTGGTCTGATGACCCCGCCTGCCAGCCCTGCCTGGACTGGCCCCCCACCCCCACGTGCTCCCCAGGGCCCTCCCTGCTTCCCTTCTGAGATGGAGAGGAGACGGGGCCAGCCCAGAGGAGGAGGAGAGATTGGATCTATACCCCATGGCCCTTCACTACCCCCAAGGGAGTCTCAGAGCATCTTACAATCTCCTCCCCCTCCCCCTCCCCACAACAGACAGACGCCCTGTGAGGTGGGTGGGGCTGAGAGAGCTCTTGACAGAAACTGCTCTTTTTCAAGGACAGCTCTTATCAGAACTACGGCTTGCCCAAGATCATCCAGCAGCTGCGAGTGGAGGAGTGGGGAATCAAACCCGGCTCTCCCAGATGGCACACTTAACCTCTAGGTCAGGGTGAAGACTTTGCTGGGTAGGCGGGGATGTGGCCATGGGAAGGGAACTTCTTTCAGCTCCGCCTATACAGGTTTCACCCCACGGCAGTGCCCCCCAAGCCCCCCCCGTACCTCGTGGCCACGCCCCCGACCCTGGCACAGAGACCAGGAGGCCAAGGAGCAGCAGCAGGAGCAGAGGGGCCATTGGCTGTGCCCAGAAGTCGGGGGCCGCGGGCCTCAAGTGGGAGGGGCCTCTCGGCAGACCCTGTGAGGTCACAGAACTCTGGCGGATGACGTCACAGGTGCAGAACCCCCGCCTCCGCCCTGCGCTTTTTGTCCCGTCTCCTGCAAGTCTCTCTGGGAAGGAGACAGAGACGGGCACCTGTCTCTGGTCTTTGTCGTGCTGCTCTTGTGGATCCAGCCCTGTCCCTGCTAGATGCTTACTGGCCAGGAAAAGCCATTTTTTCCTCAGAAGAAGCCTTGCTTCCTCTCACGTGTGCCCCAGAACGGACTCTAGACTGACCCAGGACTGCCAGGAGACCGCCGGCTGGGAAGCTGGAATGTTGAAGAGAGGAAGCGGCAGGGGAAGGGGGGGGGGACATGCCAGCGCTGCGAGGGCATTCTAAGGGACTGCCAGAAATGAAGTTGGGGAGGGGCAGCAGAGAAAAGTCTGGGACACAGCAGAGGGGTGCACCCGCACGCACACACACCCCACCCTGCCTCCGGATTTCCCACAAGGAGCGCTGCCATCCTGGGGACTTACAGGGCCGGTGTGCAAGCAGCCCAGGAAAGGGAGTGGAAACGAAACAGTCACATCTCCTTCCTCCTCCTCACTTGACTGCCCTGTTCCCCCCAGGTAGGAGGGAAAGGTGAGTCCCGAGGGGGGAGAAAACACCCCTGCCTCTTCCAATGGTCAGAGCAGGGCCGAGCAAGGTGGGAGGTGGCAGGGAATCAATCGCCAAGGGCCGCCGGGAGTCAGTCAGGCTGGGAAACCACAATGGGGCTGGGTGGGGGAAGGGAACCGTCGGCCTGCGCCAGCCCCAGCGGGGGGCTCAGGGTGCGTCCTGGAAGGATGCGATGCTCACACACACCCCTCCCACCTTTCCTGTGCAGCGTGGGATGGAGGAAGGGAAACGCTCCCCCGCCTGTGTGACCTGCTACTTGGCTTCAGGACTCTTGGGGCATCTTGGGGCAGTCTCTTGACCTTGCCAACATTTGGGGCAGCTGGGTCAGGGAACCTCCCTCAGGATCCCAGAGACCAGGACACGGGAGGCGGCGTGGAAGGAATCCCCGAGGGATGGACTGTGGCTCAGTGGCCGCCCGAGGGTCTGCTTGGGGACGCTGAGAGTCCCCAGCACCATCCCCAGGACTGGGAAACAGCCGGGAGCCACTGCTGGGCAGTGTGTGCGTGTGCGCGTGGTTTGGGAGAAGGCAGGTGTGGGGGCTCAGGTATTTCCCCCCTCCCCCAGGCCCCCCCAATGCAGCCCTTGGGCTGCCACCAGGCTGGATGGTTCTGTGCCTATCAGCAGCGCCCCAAGGAGCCTTCTGCAGGCAGGAAGGCGCCCTCCCCTCAGCCAGACAAAACCACCAGCTTCATGTGGAAGCCACAAAGCCCCACCCCTCCAAGGGGCTCCGGAGGGCTGACCCCCCCCCAGGAAACCTGGCAGACTGGCGGTCGAACTCCAGCTATGGAGCGCCGAGGGTCCTCTTGGAACATGACGGCAGGAATTCTAAATACGGGTGCCCTGCTTTGTGGTCAGGGTGGCACCCCACTGGCACCTGCTCACGGGTGCCCTGAGACAAGTGTGGACTCTCTGCCTTGGGTGCGGGACGCTCACCCAGAACCACGACCAACTCGGGGGAACCTCCGCTCCGTGTGTGTGTGTGTGGGGGAACCGCAGCCTGCAGAGCTTGGAAGGCTGACCCACTCCCCAGCGAGGGCGGGGGAGCAGAAGGAGAGGTTTGGGAACCTTTGCCCGGATCCTGGGCAAGCAAGTTCAAGCCACAAACAAACCAGATCTTCTCCCAAGCGAGGTTTAGAATTTATGGGGGGAACTACAGGGAGCAGGATTTGAAAAGGCACTCGGGCAGTTTGGTGTAGTGGTTAAGTGTGTGGACTCTAATCTGGGAGAACCGGGTTTGATCCCCCACTCCTCCACTCGCAGCTGCTGGATGACCTTGGGCAAGCCGTAGTCCTCTCAGAGCTGTCCTTGAAAAAGAGCAGTTCCTGTCAGAGCTCTCTCAGCCCCGCCTGCCTCACAGGTTGTCTGTTGTGGGGAGGGGGAGGGAAAGGAGTTTGTGAGCCGCTCTGAGACTCCTTCGGGCAGTGAAGGGTGGGGTATAAATCTCTTCTCTTCTTCATAAGGAGAGTGAAGCTGCCGTATTCAGAAGAACCTGCGTGGGAGGAATTCAATGAGAGAAACCGAAAGTGAAGACGGCTGAGCAAGAGCCCTGTCAGCTGGGAATGCCCCCCCCCCCAGGAGGAGTGGGTGAGCGAAGGGCTCCTCCGGTGCTCTCAAGGAGGGGAGAGTTCTTAGGAGAAAAGGAAGGAGAAGTCCAAAACTCAGGAAAGAGAAGGAATTTATCTGTCCCGCTGATGTGGTCTCTTTTGATGATCCAGAAATCTCAGGGGGGGGCCTTAGGCACAGCTCCCAAAGGTCCCGGGAGAGTAACAGAAGGGTTCCCAACAACAGTTAAAACCAGAATAGAATAACAAACAGAGCAGGAGTTTCTGGGTCTGTAACAGAACGCCCAGCGAGATTAAAATGTCCCCCACCCCCACTGGTGGGCATGGTGGCTCCTTATGTTTGATTGGCACCCACTGATTCTCTCAGGCGCAGACGGGCAGGCTACTCAAAGGGCATCTACTAAACCGGATGATGGGCAAGCGGGTGAGCCAGAGAGGGTGTGGCGGATGTTGTGTGGTCCACTCACAGTACCGGCCAGGGGGATACATACGGGCACAGTGTTGGCATCCAGCTCTGCGGCAGGACTTGGTTCCTGGCTTTGTGCCCCTGTTGGGTGGTGGTTCGTGGTTGTTGGTGACTTGCTTGCTGGGTGGTCGGTGGTTGTTGGGGGCTGTCCTGGGGGAAGGCAGGACATGGCCTCCCGCTCCCCTGCTGCCTCTGAAAGAGAAACACCCCTTAGCGGGGCGCCGTGAGCTGCAGGTGGCCACGGGCCAGGTTCTGGTTTTGCCTCTTTTGGGTCTGTGTCTTGCAGCAGGCCGGCTCTGGGTCCCAGCCCTGCTTTCTTGAGGGGCTCCTTTGCCTTCAGGGCAGGGTGCGGTAAAACCGCCCCCCCCCCCCACGTTCTTCTTTTAAACCCTCCAGCAGGCCAGAGCAGGAAAGGAGTGCCTGGTGGCTATGGATGTCTCAATTTGTTCTGGGGGAACCTTCCAGCCAGGCCGCAGCAGGGATTCGAACCCAGGACTTCCCTATCCCAAGAGGCCAGCACTCTAACACACACACACACACACCCCACACCCACTTTCCGGCTGTAAAAGCGGAGGCTCCAGGCGGTGAGCAACGCGGCCGCAGCGCCCTCGACAAGCCAGCCAGGAACACCCCGGGCCGCAGCCAAAAGGAGCCGCCCCCCTCCCGCAGCCTGCCGAGCGCGGGGCCGCCGCCGAGGAAGCCCTGCCCGGACGGACACCCCCCCCCCCGGCTTCCCCCAGC